CAATCCGACTGAGTAAGAATAGTCTTTTCAGCAAATGGTGCTAGGATAATTGAACAGACACATGCAAAAGACTAAAATTAGACATATTTCACATCCTATACAAATATTAACTCAAAATGGATTGGAAAAGAGCTAACACTATAAAACTCTTAGATGAAAATATGTATAAATTCGTATGTTCTCGGATTAGGCAATGATTTGTTAGATATGATACCTGAAACACAAGCAACTGAGAAAATATAATCCTAGGAAGCCAGTATCAATTGGACTTCATCAAAATCAAAACTGTCTTCTTCAAAGAACAGCATCAAGAAAGGGAAAAAACCAATAAATAGGAGAAAACATCTGCAAATCATTTATGTGATAAGGTCCAACAACCAGAAAATATAAAGAACTCTTTTAATGTAACAAAAATAACACAAACAACTTTTTTAAAATGGGCAAATGACTTGAATAGCTATTTCTACAAAAAAGATATACAAATGGCCAGCAAATACATGGGCACTAAATATCTAATGTGGGGCCCTAGAATCAACCTTCACAGCTCATTGCTGGAAGAACTAAAGTTTCTGCAAAACTCCACTGGGGGAACTTTTAGAAGCTTGTGCCTGGTTCCCTCCAAACTTCATCTCACACACCTCTTTCCTTTGATAGTTTTTGCTTTGTATCCTTTAACTGTAATAAATCTTAGCTGTGTGCATAAATAGATGCTGAGTCCTGTGAGTCATTCTAATGAACCAGTGAACACAGGAGTCGTCTTGGGGTCCTCCCAACACAGAAGTACAGCATTTTTCAGAAGGAAGTCCTTTTCGACAATTTATATCAATGCTTTAACTCCATTGTATTTCCATTGATTATTCATTATCTTGTACACTTCAAGTATTTATGATTAGTCAAGGAAGAATACATTCTTATCCATCTAGCCAAAAACTGAACAGAACGTTGCTATTCTATGAATTTCCATCAAAGAAACCTATTATACTACATGCCCTTTGAGTGCCTGTGTTTGAAAAGAATTCTGATCTATAGATAATTTATATCTTTGCTTACAATTTTAATACTGTTAAGTTATATATGAATATATTATCTGCATGAGATAAGGTTATAGAAGACATGGATTGCCTGAGTAATTCTTTTTTTTTTTTTCATTTATTTTTATTAGTTGGAGGCTAATTACTTTACATCATTGCAGTGGTTTTTGTCATACATTGAAATGAATTAGCCATGGATTTACATGTATTCCCCATCCCAGTCCCCCCTCCCACCTCCCTCTCCACCCGATCCCTCTGGGTCTTCCCAGTGCACCAGGCCCGAGCACTTGTCTCATGCACCCAACCTGGGCTGGTGATCTGTTTCACCCTAGATAATATACCTGTTTCGATGCTGTTCTCTTGAAACATCCCACCCTCGCCTGAGTAATTCTTCTGCACTTAGTACAGGACCACAGAAAAGCGTGTGTAGACATAATCTCCTAAACTCCTAAAATATTTCTCTGTTCTTTATTCATCCTAAATTATTTTTATTCACATACGAAAACATAGTTTAAACTGCACTGACACCTACATTTATTGCAGTGTCCATACCTCCTCACTAAAAGGTTCAGTTCAGTTCAGTCACTCAGTCATGTCTGATTCTTTGCAACCCCATGGACTGTAGCACGCCAGGCCTCCCTGTCCATCACCAACTCCTGGAGTTTACCCAAACTCGTGTCCACTGACTCGGTAATGCCATCCAACCATCTCATCCTCTGTCAAACCCCTCTGTCATTCTCCTCCCACTTTCAATCTTTCCCAGCATCAAGGTCTTTTCTAATGAATCAGTTCTTTGCATCAGGTGGCTAAAGTACTGGAGTTTCAGCTTCAACATCAGTCCTTCCAATGAACACTCAGGACTGATCTCCTTTAGGATGGACTGGTTGGATCTCTTTGCAGTCCAAGGAACTCTCAAAATTCTTCTCCAACACCACAGTTCAAAAGCATCAATTTTTCAATGCTCAGCTTTCTTTATAGTCCAACTCTCACATCCATACATGACTACCGGAAAAGCCATAGCTTTGACCAGATGGACCTTTGTTGGCACAGTAATGTCTCTGCTTTTTAATATGCTGTCTAGGTTGGTCATAACTTTCCTTCCAAGGAGTAAGCATCTTTTTTTTTTCCCATTTATTTTTATTAGTTGGAGGCTAATTACTTTACATCATTGCAGTGGTTTTTGTCACACATTGAAATGAATTAGCCATGGATTTACATGTATTCCCCATCCCAGTCCCCCCTCCCACCTCCCTCTCCACCCGATCCCTCTGGGTCTTCCCAGTGCACCAGGCCCGAGCACTTGTCTCTTGCACCCAACCTGGGCTGGTGATCTGTTTCACCCTAAATAATATCCATGTTTCGATGCTGTTCTCTTGAAACATCCCACCCTCGCCTTCTCCCAGAGTCCACAAGTCTCTTCTATACATCTGAGTCTCTTTTTCTGTTTTGCATATAGGGTTATTGTTACCATCTTTCTAAATTCCATATATATGTGTTAGTATACTGTAATGGTCTTTATCTTTCTGGCTGAGTAAGCATCTTTTAATATCATGGCTGCAGTCACCATCTGCAGTGATTTTGGAGCTCAAAAAAATAGTCTGCCACCGTTTGCACTGTTTCCCCATCTATTTCCCATGAAGTGATGGGACCAGATGCCATGATCTTAGTTTTCTGAATGTTGAGTTTTAAGCCAACTTTTTCACTCTCCTCTTTCACTTTCATCAAGAGGCTCTTTAGTTCTTCTTCACTTTCTGCCATAAGGGTGGTGTCATCTGCATATCTGAGGTTATTCACATTTATCCCAGCAATCTTGATTCCAGCTTGTGCTTCTTCCAGCCCAGTGTTTCTCATGATGTACTCTGTGTATAAGTTAAATAAGCACAGTGACAATATACAGCCTTGATGTACTCCTTTTCCTATTTGGAACCAGTCTGTTGTTCCATGTCCAATTCTAACTGTTGCTTCCTGACCTGAATACAGATTCCTCAAGGGACAGGTCAGGTGGTTGGTATTCCCATCTCTTTCAGAATTTTCCATAGTTTGTGGTGATCCACACAGTCAAAGGCTTTGGCATAGTCAATAAAGCAGAAATAGATGTTTTTCTGGAAGTCTCTTGCTTTTTCGATGATCCAGCGGCTGTTGGCAATTTGATCTCTGGTTCCTCTGCCTTTCCTAAAACCAACTTGAACATGTGGAAGTTCATAGTTCATGTTCTGTTGAAGCTTGGTTTGGAGAATTTTGAGCATTACTTGACTAGCGTATGAGATAAGTGCAATTGTGTGGTAGTTCGAGCACTCTTTGGCATTGCGTTTCTTTGCGACTGGAATGAAAACTGACCTTTTCCAGTCCTGTGGCCACTGCTGAGTTCTCCACGTTTGCTGGCATATTGAGTGCAGCACTTTCACAGCATCATCTTTCAGGATTTGAAATAGCTCAACTAGAATTCCATCACCTCCACTAGCTTTGTTCATAGTGGTGCTTCCTAAAGCCCACTTGACTTCACATTCCCGGATGTCTGGCTCTAGATGATCACACCATTGTGATCATTTGGGCCGTGAAGATCATTTTGGTACAGTACTTCTGTGTATTCTTGCCACCTCTTCTTAATATTTTCTGCTTCTGTTAGGTCCATACCATTTCTGTCCTTTATTGAGCCCATCTTTGCATGAAATGTTCCCTTGGTATCTCTAATTTTCTTGAAGAGATCTCTAGTCTTTCCCATCCTGTTATTTTCCTCTATTTCTTTGCACTGATCATTGAGGAAGGCTTTCTTATCTCTCCTTGCTATTCTTTGGAACTCTGCATTCAAATGGGTATATCTTTCCTTTTCTCCTTTGCTTTTCGCTTCTCTTCTTTTCACAGCTATTTTTGAGGCCTCCTCAGACAGCCATTTTGCTTTTTTGCATTTCTTTTCCATGGGGATGGTCTTAATCCCTCTCTCCTGTACAATGTCACGAAACTCTATCCATGGTTCATCAGGCACTCTGTCTATCAAATCTAGTCCCTTCAATCTACTTCCCACTTCCACTGTATAATCATAAGGGATTTGATTTAGGTCATACCTGAATGGTCTAGTGGTTTTCCCTACTTTCTTCGATTTAAGTCTGAATTTGGCAATAATGATCTGAGCCACAGTTAGCTCCCAGTCTTGTTTTTGCTGACTCTATAGAGCTTCTCCATCTTTGGCTGCAAAGAATATAATCAATCTGATTTCAGTGTTGACCATCTGGTGATGTCCATGTATAGAGTCTTCTCTTGTGTTGTTGGAAGAGGGTGTTTGCTATGACCAGTGCATTCTCTTGGCAAAACTCTATTAGCTTTTGCCCTGCTTCATTCTGCACTCCAAGGCCAAATTTGCCTGTTACTCCAGGTGTTTCTTGACTTCCTACTTTTGCATTCCAGTCCCCTATAATGAAAAAGACATCTTTTTTGGGTGTTAGTTCTAAAAGGTCTTGTAGGTCTTCATAGAACCATTCAACTTAAGCTTCTTCAGTCACGGCACAGACTTAGATTACCTTGATATTGAATGGTTTGCCTTGGAAATGAACAGAGATGATTCTGCCATTTTTGAGACTGCATCCAAGTACTGCATTTCGGACTCTTTTGTTGACTATGATGGCTACTCCATTTCTTCTAGGGGATTCTCACCCACAGTGGTAAAACTAAAAGGTTAAGGCAGATCATTTAATTGGATTTGTTGTTAATGGTGTAGCTCTAAGCTGTACTTGGGAACAGTATCGTTTTAGCTTAGAAAATAACATCATGTTTGAGGATGAATAATATTCCTGGAACCTACCAGATATATATAAATAGTAAATGGAGAATACAAACTTCTCTAAGTTCTCTTACCATCTGCTATTTTACACTGTTGCTATAAAAGTTAAGCTTCCAAAATATAATGGACACCTGTTGCATGAGTACCATTCACATTTCAATGTAATTAATTAGAAAGGAAAGATCTAGACTTACGTTTTCACTAGATTCTCTTTCATTTTAGGCAGTTGATCCATCTGTTTCCTTTGAGAAACTGGGTAGGAGCCAGAGTTCTGAAATACAATAGTTGAGCATTTATCCTCTTATTTCTTGATTGCTTTCAGAGATAAGAGGAATAGTCAATTCTCAATTAACTCTTTCCTAACCAGGTATGGATACTGTATTTTAGATATAATGCTGTTGTACTACATTACAGTATAAAAAAATTTAATATGGATTAGAAACCAAAAAATTCCTGTGACTCACTTTATTGTAATATTAATTTTACTTTATTTTGATGGTCAGGAATCAAACCTGCAATATCTCCTAGGTATGCCTGTATATCTTTTTTTCCCCTTTCTTTCTTTTTTAATTGAAATATAGTTGATGTACAATATTATATGTCACTGGTGTACAGTACAGTGATTGACAGTTTTTACAGGTTATACTGCATTTGGGGGGCTTCTCTGGTGGCTCAGATGGTAAAGAATCCGCCTGCAGTGCAAGAGACCAGGGTTCAATCCCTGGGTCAGGAAGACCCCCTGGAGAAGGGAATGGCAACCCACTCCAGTATTCTTGCCTGGAGAATTCCGTGGACAGAGGAGCCTGGCAACCTACAGGCCACCGGGTTGCAAAGAGTCAGACACAACTGAATGACTAACAGTTTCACTTCATTTTGCTTTATACTGTATAGTTATTATAAAATATTGGCTAGATTGCCTATATATTCTTAAAAAGCAATGTCCATACTGTCCATATACCATGCAAATTGGAAGAATCCTAAGATGTGGAAACTCAGTTTCAGCCAAAACTGTGAAGCCAGCAGAAATATAAACAGCAGACTCAGCAAACAGCTCTAGTTATCTACTAAAGAATCAATTATTTATGTATTCAGCATGGAAAGAATGGCAAATCATTCATTGACCTTTCCAGTCACCATAGTATTCACATAGTCAGAACCATCTTTGACTATAAAGATTAACAATTCACTCTGGAGTGAAAATCCTTATTAACATTTATACAGGGAAACAGGATTAACATCTTCCTGGGAAGCTGTTAAAATAGGCTTTGATTGTATGTTCAGTGATCCTGTATAATCAGAGTAGGAGCTATTCCACCCAAATGATTTTTTTCAGATAAACAAAGCTAAAGGAGGATGGCTAAGGCAAGTAGAAATGCTGATGCCCCTTTCACAGAGGGAGGGGCTAGGGAGATGGGAAAGAAAAACAGGAAAACAATATTCACTGTTTGCTGGAATTTAGAACCAATAATGTGCCAGGCATTTCACTCAGCACTTTTCATATATCATATCTCCAGACCCTCACAAATCCCCCGCAAGATACTCCCACTACTTTCCTTTTACAGAGGAGGAAAGAAATTGAGGCCCCCAAAGGTCACATCACAGTAGGTACAAATCTGGGATTCAAGCCCAATTTGCAGTGACTCCAAAGTCTGTGGCCTCTCATCATATCATGGCTTCATAAAGGAGAGGGCATGTTGCTACACCTTGAAGGAGGCAGAACTGGAATGTAGGAGAAACAGCATATTCTGAGGAGACAGAGTGCAAGGTATGAGAAAAGGCACATGGATACTGGTACAGCAGGAGGAAGCAGGGCTTCTAGCCAAGTATCCAGGACTATAAAAGGTGGACTGACTGTCCATTTCATGGGTAAAAGACCACAATTTTGTCTCAATTTCCTACTTACCTTCGTTGGCACTAAAGTCCAAGCTTGCCTTTACCCCTCACCCTGACTTTCATTCTCAAGTTGTTCTGTGCATCCCATCCTTGATTCCAATCCCCAAAGCTAATTCCCTTCCTTCTAGTCCCTTCATTAAGCCTCTGGAAACACCAAATCAGTGGTCAGATAATTACTTTTATGTCAAAACCAGTCCTCAAGGTCCTCCACCTCTATGTCTCATGTACCTATGTCTTGAGGACACTGACCCTCTTTTTGGTTCTTCTTCCCTAGCTATCACTGCTGAAACTCTTCAAAGCTGTATCTCAGACTATCTCTTCACCCTGTGTATTCTCCCTGATGCATTTGATTCATTCACATGGGGTCATTTACTATCTATATGCTGTTGCTGCTGCTAAGTCACTTCAGTCGTGTCCGACTCTGTGCGACCCCACAGACAGGAGCCCACCAGGCAAGAGTACTGGAGTGGGTTGCCATTGCCTTCTCCGATCTATATGCTAGTAAGTTCTAAATCCATTGCTTCAATCCTGATCTTTCTTTTATTTTTTTCTCTTAGATTCACACATCCTACCCCTCTTTGGACACTTCCATTCAAATGATGCACATTGAAAACTGAATTTGCATCCTAACCTGAAAACATATATCAAAATACTTAATCAGGATTAAATATCTAAATGTCAAATATTAGGCCAAATAAGTACTAAAGAGATGTGATGAATGTTATGAAACACTGAGACAAAGACAGTCTTTTAAAATAAGACATAAGAAGCCATAAATAAAAGATAGCTTTGACAACATCTAAACAAAAACTCTATATACCAACAACATCATAAATAAAATGGAAAAGTAAATGAAAAACTGGAAAGTATGTGCAGTGTCTTTCATAAATCATTGATCAATTCCCTGTCCTGCCACTTGTAAGTACACACTTTCTAGCAATAGCAGTGTGGGGTCTATCTTAGACTTCATCATGCATAGCTATGAGGTAAAATGCCTTGACTTTCATGACAGAGGAGTGAAAACTACTTATTTGTGTGAATTCTAGTAATTACAAAGCAAACTAAAGGAACAATTAAAATAACAAGCACACAAAATATAATATTAATTTGGGAAACATATATCTTATTTTTACCTTTTTATAAAAGTCCAGTAGCTGCGATGGACTGTGTGGCTGCGACGGACCACGCACAAGCGTGGCCGAGAAGAGCTGCCCCACGCCCGAGGTCAGGGGCGGCGGCCAGGAGGAGCAGCCCCACGCCCAAGGAAAGGCGGCTGCGCCGGTACAAGAGGCCTGAGAGTGCGAAGTAAGCCAGAAAGATAAAGACCATTACAGTATACTAACACATATATATGGAATTTAGAAAGATGGTAACGATAACCCTATGTGCAAAACAGAAAAAGAGACTCCTATGTATAGAACAGACTTGTGGACTCTGGGAGAAGGCGAGGGTGGGATGTTTCAAGAGAACAGCATTGAAACACGTATATTATCTAGGGTGAAACAGTTCACCAGCCCAGGTTGGGTGCATGAGACAAGTGCTCGGGCCTGGTGCACTGGGAAGACCCAGAGGGATTGGGTGGAGAGGGAGGTGGGAGGGGGGACCGGGATGGGGAATACATGTAAAAAAAAAAAAAAAAAGATACACGAAAAAAAAAAATATATATATATATTTTGCTCTGTAAAAAAAAAAAAAAAAAAAGAAATGAAAAAAAAAAAAAAAGAGGCCTGAGAGGAGCTGCTCCACGTTCAAGGTCAGGAGGAGATGGCCGTGAGGAGATACCTCTCGTCCAAGGTAAGGAGCAGCAGCTGCGCTTTGCTGGAGCAGCTGTGAAGAGATGCCCCACGTCCAAGGGAAGAGAAACCCAAGTAAGACGGTAGGTGTTGCCAGAGGGCATCAGAGGGCAGACACACTGAAACCATAATCACAGAAAACTAGCCAACTTGATCACAGGACCACAGTGGTGTCTAACTCAGTGAAACTAAGCCATGCTGTGTGGGGCCACCCAAGATGGTCGGATCATGGTGGAGAGGTCTGACAGAATGTGGTCCGCTGGAGAAGGGAATGGCAAACCACTTCCATATTCTTGCCTTGAGAACCCCATGAACAGTATGAAAAGGAAAAAGATAGGACACTGAAAGATGAAGTCCCCAGGTCGGTAGGTGCCCAATATGCTACTGGAGATCAGTGGAGAAATAACTCCAGAAAGAATGAAGGGATGGAGCCAAAGCAAAAACAATGCCCAGTTGTGGATATGACTGGTGATAGAAGCAAGGTTCGATGCTGTAAAGAGCAATATTGCATAGGAACCTGGAATGTTAGGTCCATGAATCAAGGCAAACTGGAAGTGGTCAAACAGGAGGTGGCAAGAGTGAACGTCAACATTCTAGGAATCAACTAACTAAGATGGACTGGAATGTGTGAATTTAATTCAGATGATCATTATATCTACTATTGTGGGCAGGAATCCCTTAGAAGAAATGGAGTAGCCATCATGGTCAACAAAAGAGTCCGAAATGCAGTACTTGGATGCAGTCTCAAAAATGACAGAATGATCTTTGTTCGTTTCCAAGGCAAACCAGTCAATATTAGAGTAATCCAAACCTGTGCCCCAACCAGTAACACTGAAGAAGCTGAAGGTGAACGGTTCTATGAAGACCTACAAGACCTTTTAGAACTAACACCCAAAAAAGATGTCCTTTTCATTATAGGGAACTAGAGTGCAAAAGTAGGTAGTCAGGAAACACCTGGAGTAACAGGCAAATTTGGCCTTGGAATACGGAATGAAGCAGGGCAAAGGCTAATAGAGTTTTGCCAAGAGAATGCACTGGTCATAGCAAACACCCTCTTCCAACAACACAAGAGAAGACTCTATACATGGACATCACCAGATGGTCAACACTGAAATCAGATTGATTATATTCTTTGCAGCCAAAGATGGAGAAGCTCTATAGAGTCAGCAAAAACAAGACTGGGAGCTGACTATGGCTCAGATCATGAACTCCTTATTGCCAAATTCAGACTTAAATCGAAGAAAGTAGGGAAAACCACTAGACCATTCAGGTATGACCTAAATCAAATCCCTTATGATTATACAGTGGAAGTGGGAAATAGATTGAAGGGACTAGATTTGATAGACAGAGTGCCTGATGAACTATGGATGGTGGTTCGTGACATTGTACAGGAGACAGGGATTAAGACCATCCCCATGGAAAAGAAATGCAAAAAAGCAAAATGGCTGTCTGAGGAGGCCTTAAAATAGCTGTGAAAAGAAGAGAAGCGAAAAGCAAAGGAGAAAAGGAAAGATATTCCCATTTGAATGCAGAGTTCTAAAGAATAGCCAGGAGAGATAAGAAAGCCTTCCTCAATGATCAGTGCAAAGAAATAGAGGAAAATAACAGGATGGGAAAGACTAGAGATCTCTTCAAGAAAATTAGAGATACCAAGGGAACATTTCATGCAAAGATGGGCTCAATAAAGGACAGAAATGGTATGGACCTAACAGAAGCAGACGATATCAAGAAGAGGTGGCAAGAATACACAGAAGAACTATACAAAAAAGATCTTCACGACCCAGATAGTCACGATGGTGTGATCACTCACCTAGAGTCAGACATCCTGGAATGTGAATTTAGCTGGATTTAGCAAGGGCAGAGAAAGCAGAGATCAAATTGCCAACAGCCGCTGGATCATCGAAAAAGCAAGAGACTTCCAGAAAAACATCTATTTCTGCTTTATTGACTATGCCAAAGCCTTTGACTGTGTGGATCACAGTAAACTGTAGAAAATTCTGAAAGAGATGGGAATACCAGACCATCTGACCTGCCTCTTGAAAAATCTGTATGCAGGTCAAGAAGCAACAGTTAGAACTGGACATGGGACAACAGACTGGTTCCAAATAGGAAAAGGAGTACATCAAGGCTGTATATTGTAGCCCTGCTTATTTAACTTATATGCAGAGTACATCATGAGAAATTCTATGCTGGAAGAAGCATAAGCTGGAATCAAGATTGCTGGGAGAACTATCAATAACCTCAGATATACAGATGACACCACCTTTATGGCAGAAAGTGAAAAGGAACTAAAAAGCCTCTTAATAAAAGTGGAGGAGGAAAGTGAAAAAGTTGGCTTAAAGCTCAACTTTCAGAAAACTAAGATCATGGCATCTGGTCCCATCACTTCATGGAAAATAGATGGGGAAACAGTGCAAATGGTGGCAGACTTTATTTTTTTGAGCTCCAAAATCACTGCAGATGGTGATTGCAGCCATGAAACTAAATGATGCTTACTCCTTGGAAGGAAAGTTATGACCAACCTAGATAGCATATTTAAAAGCAGAGACATAAAATAAATAAATAAATAAATAAATAAAAGCAGAGACATTACTTTGCCAACAAAGGTCCGTCTAGTCAAGGCTATGGTTTTTCCAGTGGTCATGTATGAATGTACGGGTTGGATGGTGAAGAAAGGTCAGAGCCGAAGTATTGATGCTTTTGAACTGTGGTGTTGGAGAAGACTCTTGAGAATCCCTTGGACTGTAAGAAGATCCAACCGGTCCATCCTGGGGGAGATCAGTCCTGGGTGTTCTTGGAAGGACTGATGTTGAGACTGAAACTCCAATACTTTGGACACCTCATGCATAGAGCTGACTCACTGGAAAAGACCCTAATTCTGGGAAGGATTGGGGGCAGGAGGAGAAGGGGATGACGGAGGATGAGATGGCTGGATGGTATCACCGACTTGATGGACATGGGTTTGGGTAGACTCCAGGAGTTGGTGATAGACAAGGAGGCCTGGCATGCTGCGATTCATGGGGTCGCAAAGAGCAGGACACAACTGAGTGACTGAACTGACTGACTGATAAAAATTACATGTTTTCTTTTTTACCTTCCATATATAGAAACTTGGTACTTTTTCTCCTTTAATTCCAACAGCTGCTTTCTACTAAACCAAGCCAATCAAAAAACCTAGAAAAGTGAAAAACATAATTTACAGTACCTCTTAAAAACTGAAGGTAAAGAAACAAGTTACCTGAGACATTTCAGCGAAGGTATGTACAGTGCTCATTGTTGGTCCTGTGGTAAGCTTATGTGAAAGATATAAAAGTAAAGAAACTGATATCAAAGAAGATTTACAATACTAGCAAGATTACTGCCAAGTTATGTCTCTATGCTTTTTAAAAATAGTACACAAAATAGTTTTGTAAGTATACTGTAGAACTATATAGTATGTTTTTAATAACATACCAAAAATCATGGCAGTTCCAAAGGAATTTCTTAGCATAGAATAAAAACAAACCTTTGACTCTTGTTCCAGTCTCAGTGCATAGTCTTTCACTTGATTTTCCAGATTCCTTTTTTCTCTAATTGTTTAAGCAATGTATTTAAGGATTTCTGAAAGTATAAACAGTATTTTTACATGCACTCACATTTTAAATATTAGGACCGCCAATCTCTTCATTGGCAAATTCCTTCTATTCCATATCATTCTGTTACTTTAAAAGTCTATAATATGTACCTTTTCAGCAATAATAATAATATTTATTGAACCCTAACAATAGCCATATACTGTGCTAAATGATTTCCACAGATTATTTTATTTAATCCTTATTACAGACACCAAGATGACTAATATATTCATTTTACTGTTGAGAAAACTGCATCTGATAGAGCTTAAATAACTTGCCCAAAGGCACAGAGCTAGTAAATAGCAGAGCTGGAATCCAGGTAATCTGACTCCAAAGACAATACACACTAAATGAGTACTATATGTGTGTATTCATGCGATTGCTATCAGGGTAACTAAGTACAGTGTTAGAACAGGCAGTAAGGGTTTTCCTGGTGGCTCAGTGGTAGAGAATCTGCCTGCAAATGCAGGAGACAAGGGTTTGATCCCTGCTCTGGGAAGACCCCACATGTCATGGAGCAGCAAAGCCTGTATGCCACAACTACTGAGCCTGTGCTTGAGAGCCCGGGGTCTGCAACTGTTGCGCCCCCGCGCCGCAGCTACTGAAGCCAGGGCACTCAGGAGCCTGTGCTCCACAACAGCAGAAGCTCCCACTTGGTGCAGCCAGGGAAAAGCCCACACAGCACCGAAGACCCAATACAGCCATAAGTAAATAAATAAATAAAAAGAAGAACAGGCAGTAAAGTTGATAATCAAGGGAACTGTGAAAATATGGCAGAGTAGAATAGTTCTGGAAACCATAACATCAACCCATCACCACAAATAGGTGAATAGCATAGAGAAAAGGGTTAGCCAAGCACCATAACAATAATGCATTACACAGACTGGGTTTAGAATGTTAATTCCTAAAGTAATAACTGATCTTTCCCAATAACTCCCATTATTTCTCATATTCTGACACATTAAATTAAAAAATCTCCAAGTTGAATTCTACACAGCTCTTGCTGGTCATGATCTGGGTCACGGAATCTATTAAAAGAAACATTCAAATAAAAATGGAGGCAACTGATTTAAATCACCACAAAGCAAAACTGCAAGTTATTTTAGAGCTCATACCTACCTCCTGAAATTCAGCTCATTCTCTAAAAATTTACTGATTTTCTCTTAGATACTTGCTGGTAATTATTAGAAGTGTAAAAAAATTGTATTAATGGGAATAATTAGGTCAGCTCTAACAGGACAAGTTCTAGTGTCTAAAAATAACAGCAATGATAAAACAAATCCTTTGGAAGTGATGATTCTCCACTATGCATATTTGCTTAACATCTCTGTTAAAACATGATCAGTGATATATCTCAGGCAGGCATTATTTGTCTTCGAAAATTATGCACTGGTGTCCTAAGTAGTTTCCAACCCCCACCCCCAAATACAGGCTTCCCTGGTGGCTCAGATGTAAAGCATCTGCCTGGATTGCAGGAGACGCAGGAGACTCGGGTTCAATCCCTGCATTGAGAAGACCCCCTGGAAGAGGAAATGGCAACCCACTCCAGTATTCTTGCCTGGAAAATCCCATGGACAGAGGAGCCTAGTGGACTATAGTCCATGGGGTCGCAAAGAGTCAGACACGACCGAGCATGTACACATACATACATAACTCCAAACACAAACTTGATCCAGAAGAAAACCGATAAAAGCCCTATAAGTAGAAGAGGATAAATGGACTGAGTTCTCTATAGAAAATTAAACCCTTATGAAGTAAACCAATGCTCCAAAATGAGAGTTTTTGAAGGGACAATCAGGGAGTGATGGATGTAGTCCAAAATTTTGTTACATAGACCCTTGCTCCAAGGATTCCAAGCTTAGCCTTCTGCAGTAATACGCTTCATTTACATCATTTGTTAATACATTTTTAGAGATGTAAATAGAATCTAATCATTTTTAATACTGAGTCAATGGAAAAATGCACTCAAAATACAGAAAGAAATTAATTTACAAATAAACAAATGGAACACAAATTATTTTCATATTAATCAGATATAAATGAGATACGGTCCAAAACTCTAGAGGTTCATACAAGAAATGTAGATAGGAAATAGATAAATTCAACAGCTGAAGCAATTAATAATATCTGAGCAATTAATAAGAGGCAAGGTAAGATACTAGGGAAGGTCCTGGTTAGAGAAGGCTTAGGATGCTAGGTTCAGGAGTCAAAACACCGGAGCTATTGAAAGTTATTAAAGAAGCGATATGATGAAAGCAGGGGTTTAAGAATACTAATCAAGTGGTAGTTTCTACAATAAAAGGATGATTTCTGTTATTTGTCAGTGTGGGTTTGCAGTTTTAACCTTTGAGGCTTAAATATTTTCCATCTGCTTTCTCTGTGTGAAGACTGTATCTTGGTGCTATTCCCATGATGATCTGATTCCTTGTCTTGTCTCCCAATTTTACAATTCATTCCTTTATGCAAAAAAATATTCATCAAGCACCTCCTGTGTGTCAGGCATTGTGCTGGGGATTCCACAGTGAGACTGATAAACCCAGACGCTAACCTCATGAAGCTCAGAGTCTAATAGGGTGCCTAGAATGTGCTTTACACTGATGAATGTTACACCCAAGCTTGAGGAGAATCTGTATTCTGCTGTAGTGGGATGGAACATTCTATAAATGTCAACAGATTGAGTTGACTGAGAATGCTATTAGGATAAGCTATTGAGTATCTTTATTGATTTTTCTGCCTTTCTGATTTATCAATTACTGACAGGGGGTGTTAAGTCTCCAACTTTCATAATGGATGCACCTATACGTCCTCCAGTAATGCATCACAATTACCATTTAAGTGTTCCTGTCAGTTTGTATTCCAGGCTAAGCAGATCTCAATGCCTGTCTGGATTTGTCTGTTTATACAGATTTCAGGGTGGGACTTTGCTCTGCAAATTCAGTTTTTTAATGAGCAGAATCACTGATTTTCAGGTTACCCATCTTTGCTGTTGTTGTGGTGACAAGATCGATGAGTTCCAAGCACTACACATAACTGGAACTGAAACTAGAAGCCACAAATTGGTCTTGACTCTCTTTTCTAGTCAGAATGGAAAGAGTACACTCTCCAAAGCAGTGGCTGCACACCCTACACTGAAGACCTGCTAGTCTGCTCTAGCAGTGATACCACACCTGGCAAAACAGTTGGGGCTACTAACTGGTTAAGTCTGCAGTAACCTACAGTCTTTCTCTAAGATACACCCAGGGTTTGCAGAGGTCAGACTGGCAAATTAAACAGAGCTATGTTAAGCCCTCTGCTGTCTTCCCTGGGATAAGAAATTATTTTTGTTCGGCAATTTTGGCCTGGGTGGGGGAAGGCACCATTTCCCACATTTCTATTTGGTTTTCTGCACCATGATAGCTTTTACTTCAGAGATGAGGGCCTGATGGAAGGTTAACTTCAACTGCCAAGTATATGTACTTCATTAGATATTCAGGGACTGAGAAAATCATCACTGTGGGGTTAGGCGAGTCTGTGGGCACATGGTCACTGTGATTTCTACTTCAGGCTTAGACCCCCATCCTGGTTATATACTTTCCCGCAGTATACAACCACTTGGGGACATGGTCAGAGGTCTCTTGAGGGTCAGACTGGAGATATTGTCATGATACGTACTTGGACTGCTACTGCAGGGTCCTTCCTTCTAGTAACCCAGCCGCTTCTTTGGTCAGTGATTTCTGGGAAATAAGCAGAGTCATGCTTTTCACTAGGCTAACTGTCCTCACCCTCCACTCCTCTGTTCTTAATTTTTTAGTTTTAAAAATTATAGATGTTCAACAACACCCTCACTGATTGTCTTGGCAGCCAGGAGAAGAGGTAGGGGCAGCTCCAGAGGGGGAAGATAGTCACCCTATCGGCGAGAGGCCTGTGCAGCAGCTTCCAGGACTGTGAGTGCTCCAGCCCTTCCTAGAGCTAGAGGTGGGCCGCCTCTGCTCACCCAGAGGGGCCGGGTGGAGGGGTAGAGACATGATGGGCAGTCATCCAGATGTCCTGCCACAGGTTTAGGATCCCTGGTTCTTCCCATCAGGGCCCTGCCCTTCCCCGAAGGCCTGCTTGGAGAGCCCTGCTGTTCTGTTGTGGCCACCCTTTCACTACTGTATGCAGCCTCTTTTAGACACTACCACACCAAGGCTCTCTGCTTTTCACTGTTAGGTATTAAGGGCTTACTAACTATTCTCAGCCTCTCACTATCCTTATAAAGGATGAAAATACAACTTAGTAATAATCCTGTATTTTCCAAATGTCTGCAGGCTTCTTTCACAGTATTTTCCTCCACAAGAGCATTTTCCAAGGTTGCCATTGGCGAAGTCCTTAGCAACTGAACGGCCACACTGAGCCGGGATCCGTTGGTGCCAATCTACTAATCAGGACAGCACCTGCTGGCTGTCACACAGTAAGTGAGCCAGGCCCAAATCTCATGTTACCCCTGTTTTCTCATAGCCCCCCCAATACCACACCAACTGTAGATGTGGTCTTCTGAGAAGCAGATACCGAGATGGGATTAGATGTGAAAATAATCCATTATTAGAAACACCTGTGTGAAAGGAACTAGGAAAGGAGTGGGAGAGGGCTGGGAAAGGAGTCAAGTGTAATGCAA